GGAATTATATTTTTCTTTCAATTATTATGTCGAAAACAAATTAAGGATTTTCTATTCAGAAATTTATTTTTTCTTTTTTCATTAAAGGAAAAAGCACTTGCTACTATGAAATTATCTTCTTTCTGCCATGTAGTGATGGTTAATAATCTCTTCTGCTTGTTATTTGGAATCATGTTATTAGATTTATTAAGATTTAGAATACGATGATATGTGATATTGATAAATATTTTGTATATATGCTTCTTAGATTTGAATTATTAATGCGACTATATTTCAATAATTGGAGAATGTTGCGGTAATAGTTTCAAAAGTGAGTACATGTTTTATTATATGTACTTCGAGTTTACTGCTTTGATCTACGGGATTATGGTAAATCTTTTGGAATTTATGCTGTAATTTTTATGGTTGTAGGCTTTCTTAATTTAGTGATTTGACTAACTTTATTAGGTCGATTTTAAAAAGGTAAATTTATGCGGTCGGAATGAATATTGAAGGAACTCAATATTTTTCAGAAGAATCCTCCTATATCATACAGTGCTGGTAGACAAACATCATTTATGAAGTGGATTATTTTGGTTTTTTTAAATAGATTTAATGTACAGTATTATTAGAACATGTAAAAAAGATATTCGACGGAATTGATGAAGTTAGGTGATCGTTTGTCATTCTTTTTGCCTCTATGATGAAAGTTTTCGATGTGTTGTGGTTTTAATACCGAAGACCCTTGATTTGTCCCAAATTCTGCACTGTATTATCATTAATTAATTAGTCTTGACTACATACGTCTTGCATTGGGTTTTGGTAAAGAAATTAAATATTGGTGCAACTGATACATTTAATTGAAGATTCTATTAGCATAAGATGAAGGAGACATAATGCCTTACCTTTATAGGTAGAAAAATGAGGGTTAGATTAAACTTCATTATCTTTTTAGTAGGGCATCAACACCTAATCATCTATGTCCTGTCTTTTTAAAAAAAGAATAGAGAAACCTTCAAACGCAAAGTCTAGAAAATAAATTTTGAATCAAATATCTTAATATTATTTTTGTCACCTATCATCATTTCAAGTATTTTAAATTTAATGTAACTAATGTTTAAGACAAATAATTTTTTTTTTATATTTACGCTATCATATAGCCCAACTATACTATGGCACGTGTATTGCATGTTCGTCTTACCAGTTTTATAAAAAAAGGCACTCATGTGCCTTTTGGGATTCATTCATTCATTCAGGGAGTGTTTCATGCTTATTATGATGTGATGTGATGGAAAATATGTGATTAAAAAATAAGAAGAGTTTTGGATTTACGTGTGATATTATTTTATTGAAAAATGTGGTTAAAAATGAGTTTTGAAAGAATGAATTTTGAAAAGAATTTGAATCAAACAGAACAACAGATTTGTGCCTCTTCTCTCTCTCTCTCTAATATTTGATCATCAACTGGATGATTCATTAGTGATCTCTTTGTGAGATTATAATATTTTGAGAGAAAAGTGTTGAGCAATACTTCTTTGTGAGTGATTGTTGTAACAAGGGAGAGTTTGAGAGGGTTTCGAGACCCTTCGCTGTCTGTGCTAAATCGGACCTTTGCCTATTTTTTAGGCTTTATAGTAGATTTGAGCTATACATTAGGGAATGCTTAACGGGGGATTACACGTTAGATGTGATTGCTGAACCTCCGAGACCTATGGCCGAAAAATCCTTGTGTTTCTTATTATTTTTATAGTGTCTTTATTGTTTTTTACTTAAAAAGTTTTGAGTCACAAACGTGGATTTACATAACTGGGACCAACAGATTAAATAATCAGGGCGAATAATAATTATATCCCAGAAGCTCCAATTGATAACACGACACACTAATGCCATGCATCATTCTTGCATAAAAAGAAAAGAAAAGGAAAAGTTATGGTTACATGTATTGAAAATAGAAAAAGAATAAACTTAATTAAAAAATAGAAGAAAATCATAAATTCAGGGTGGAGAAAACAATGGGCTGAATATAGAAGAAGATGAATGAGGAAGTCACACGTTCAAGGGTTTCGTGGGTGTATGAGCGGAGTTTCAGGGTTTTGTAGAAAATAAGGGAAACTGCATGTCCTAAGTTTCGCCAACTTTTTTGTTACAGCAGACCTGCACAAGGAAAATGGTACCCACCTCATTCACCCAATACCACCCCAAACCCCACCATAGAAATCCTAAACTGAACCTGCATAAACCTGCATGCTGATCATTGGGGCCCTCAAAATCCTTAATCAGGCACAATTAATTTTAATCAATATTCATAACTTTTTTAGTATCTCTTCAAATTTTTCGAAATCTACTAAAATTTTCACGCATACAACTTTCATCTCTAAAGAATTTGAGATGGACCGCACGAGTTTCATTATGGTTAAGCATTTTGTAGCTTTACCGTCCGTTACTACCATGAAAGATAGCTGGAGGTTAGTTGAACTCAGACTTTTAACACAGTAAGATAAGAATCTTTCCGTCACACAAATTTTTTATTACACTTCTCAATTTCCCATTAATATAATATGATAGCATATGAAATAATTAGGAAGTTTCTGAATGCTCGACTTCCCATGAAATTGACTGCTTAAAGGCAGAAACTGAACCTTGTCAAATATAACAATATGTAAGCAAGCAGGAGAACATTAATAGAGCGCTACACATGATCATACCAACTACTAGCTACCGTATATGATCAGTCTCTCGAAGTAGTATACAAGAAAGATACATGCACCGCCATCAACATTTCTCACTCTATCGTCACCAATGGCCTGACAGTGCCAAAACCCTTTTGTCTAATCTTCTTCTCATTCCATGTGATCCCTTCTTCCTCTTCTTAATCAACATCTTTTTATTATTTTATTCTATCTTCTTCCAGAAACACCGATTTCTTTCTTTATTGTTGATTCTCTGAGAGAATCAGATTAATTTGATGTATAAATAGTGCTATATTTAGTATCCTTCCTGAAAGATTGTGGGATTTCATCAGAAAGATACCTATATACATATATTTGATCGATCAGATATTGATTTCAATATGGGGAGAGTGAAACTCCAGATCAAGAAGATTGAAAATACGACAAACCGGCAGGTCACTTTCTCAAAGAGAAGAAATGGATTAATCAAGAAAGCTTATGAACTTTCTGTACTTTGTGATGTTGATGTTGCTCTTATCATGTTTTCCCCTTCTGGAAGAGTAAGCATATTCTCAGGAAATAGAAGGTAACAATTAAATACCCTTTCTTATTATTAGTCTTCTGTTCTTGTTTTTGAGATGACTAGGTTAATTATTCTCTTTTTTCTATGTTTGAAGCATGGAAGAAATCTTGACGCGATATGTGAATCTTCCTGAGCATGAAATAGGAAAGTAAGGATCAACAACTCAATTTTCTGGTTTATATATATATCCTCTTTCATGGGTTGATACTGATGATTTTCTGTTCGTGTCTCATGCAATTACCAAAGGCTACAAAACCAAGAGGTAATATGACAAATAGTTTCTCAGTAGTTCAGATTAAATCTGTGGATGGTTTGTCTTTTCCATTCTGATCTTGGATTTTTATGGTTTAATGATCTTGAAATGATATTGATTAATTAAATTATTTGCAGTATCTGCAAAGGGCTCTTGGCAAGTTGAAATCTGCAGCAGATCGCACCTATCTACCAGCCACCAGGTTCACACACACACACACACACACAATCTTACCCCAACCCTTGCAACCCACAAATGTGCTTTGTTCTATTTTGTTTCTTATGCCTGATTTTTGAAATTTCTTTCTGCGAAATTGAAAATTTGCAGAATCTTTCATAATTATGTCATAACTAGCTTTGTTTTCTTGATCCTGTTATGTGCAGCGGCCCAGCAAGCGTTGATTCTCAAGTTGAGGTATATGTATTAGTGTTAAGAATATAGACCTTCTATGTAGTTTGTAAAATCAATTTCATTTGGCCTCTCAATCCATCACTAATCGTCGATGTGGGTGAATTATTACAGGAAATGCAACAAGAAATTCTTAAATGTACGTGCCAACTTGAGAATATGGAGAAAAGACTCAGGTATATATTAAACTTCGAATCCACTCATTGATCCAAATACATTAAACTTAGATTATGGAATTAGGAAGATTACTCATCATACATTTATACTTTCGTAGGATTTATGAAGGTGATTCGTCCGATATCACTACACTGTTTGAGGCTGAGTACCGGGAACAAATTCTTGAGGTAAACTTGAAGCAAGTCAGGATGCGAAAGGCAAGTTTCATCGCCCTACGCTTTTATTTAGTTGATGTTTGGTTAAGGCAGACTTGACAAACAAAAAGAAACTAAAATCATGTTCAGCAAATCATTCTAATATTGCATTTCAGACATGCCCAAGTAGTTGAGGATGCATCTTTTTTCCTTTTTCCAAAAAAGTATTGAATATATAATATTAACTCAATAAATTTCTGAAGCTGATGAAATTTTTTACATGGACAGCAAGTTCTGCAGGACCAGTATAATTCTCCTGGTGCACAAAGAACTACACAGGTATATTATTAAATTTTGAATATGTTCTTGAGAAGAGTTGAATAACTGCAAAAAGGGTTAAGGCTCAAGGGAGTCAAGGCTATGTCTAATATCGCATTTCAGATGAATTTGCCCCTAGCGACCACAACTCTATCTGATTTGGCTACAACAAATGCAAACAATATCTTGGACTGGCTTCCTCAGAGGGATCCACAAGTCCAAATCCTGAAATTCTTGGATTCAAATGGCCTGCTTCCAGTGAGGTGTTTATATAGCATAGTTTAATGTCATATGTACGTCCATATTATGCAATGTTATTCACGAATTAACAACGCATTTGATTGAGTCGTCTTGTATATATTGCAGAGAACCTCAACGTATGGATAATATCCTGTCACCATCCTTAACTGTCCTTCATGCACCAAGCGTACATGTCCATAATCATTTGGGTTCAGGCCGGAGGATTGAGGATGACACACAACGACCAGATCATTTTGAGCAAGTAATTGATGTCAATCTTTCTCCATGGACAGATTTATATCCAACAGGTAATTTGTCCGCGATCAGCTAGTTACGTCTTATTGTTGTTCAAAGCTTAAGGAAAAGGAAATAAAATCGAAGAAGGTTGAAAAGCCAAGTTTGTGTGCACATTCGATGTATTCGATTTTCATATCAGGTGCCTGCATGCACACATGCAGGCCTCGCGAGTGTATCTAAAGACGTAATTAGATGGAATGCACTGAGTGCAGCATGTATAAAAACTAAATTGCATTTCGTTCACACTCAAAACTAAATTGCATTTCATTTAGACTCATTATGTCTTTAAAATCTGGCTATGAAATGATCGTTGGATCCATGAAAAAAGAGTTCAACTAGCGGATTCAAATTTATTGGGAAGAAGGCTTAACTGGTTGTTGTTTATTATGTCTTTCATGGCTTTATTTGAGTAATACCATAATCTTGGAACGCATTGATTTTTTTTGCAGTGAATGATCCTTCTCCTGCCGCACAGCCCAGAGACGAGCGCTTCTTGAACTGTTTCTGTCTCGGCTCACCCCAGTGAATCAATATCATATATGACAGTTTATATTTTGTTAATTTAGACAACTTCCCTACAGAACTTCTTTTTGCTGTCACCGTAGTATTTCTTCAATTAAAAGTTTTCTGGAACTATTTAAATTTGCTGTATCAATTCTATATCATGTCTAAAGTTTTCCATTATAAGAAAAGATTCCATGTTAAGAATACATTGGACTCATCTAAATGATGGATATGTGGGTTTGTACTGTAGAATGATACAAACAATGGGTTTGTCTAAGCCACGTTGGTTCAGACACAAAAGTATATTAAAATTTAAGTTAAAGTCAGCAATTAAATTTAACATTTGCAATTTCAACTACACGTTTTATCAATTTTTATTAAAATCTAGTAAAAATCTTATTTTTATCTAAATCAAACAGGAGCTAAAAGTCGTCAACAAATGCTATGAACAATAAGTAATGAGCTATCTTGTTGCGTGTAGTCACAAGTTCAGTGAACTCCCCTACACGTGGCACGACAACATTGTTTAATGCGGGTTTAAAGCTAAATTGTAAGAAAGTGCACTAATGGTGTCCCACATGCATAATTGCAAGCTTTCTACCCTAAGTTTATTGTGCTTATCTTATATCTTTCTTGACTTGCTGGCCCATGTATGTAGGAAGGCTGCCCAAGGCATTTTCGGGAGCTAGGAGGCTGAAGGGGCGGTCTTTACAGTTGGTATCAGAGCAGGTCCACTCCGAATGTTGCGTTGTTGGTTACGAGAGACTGATGGCATGCATTCTTGTGAAAATGATTTCGGGACGACCGTAGATGGGATGAAGCCATGAGATGTGTGGCAAAGCATGGTTGGCAAGAAAGTAGATTCGATGATGGAAAGCTGTGTTGATAACGGAAGTAAGGGCATGCATTATGCATTTTTACCTACTACATGAATGTTTGTTTCGTAAAGCGTGACAAAGCATTGCAAAATAATCAAACGTGAGGGCATTTATGTTGAATGCTTTGACATACTCTATGACGGTAAGGCCGAGAAGCCATCCATCCGAGGAAATGATGCAGAGGTGCAGAGGGTGAAGGTTGTCGAAGGCAGCATAATTGTGGAGAGTTTCGTACCCAATAGCGTAGAGGAGAATGCAATGCCAAAGTTGTGTGAAGATGCAAGGTATATGTTCCACCATGAGGGCGTTAGTGGATTGAGTGAGGGAGTGAGTCATGGGCTCAGTGAACTCCCCTATACATGTGACATAGCAAGATTGTTTATTACGGATTTTGAAGCTAAATTGTCAGAAAGTGCACTAACGATATCCCATACGTAGATATAATTGCTAGTCTCCTACAAATTTATTGTGCTTATCTTATATATTGGCTTGTCGACCTCTGTGTGTGGGAAGGCTTCCTCAGGGACTATCAGGAACTAGGGGCCGAACGGGCTTTCCATTATAACGTGTCCTAAATATTACTCTAGAATTGTGAAAATAATGAGGATAATTTTATTGATTGTGTTTTAGCTCTATATATACAATATAGTAGTGAACATTTAAACGAAAAAAAATTAGAAAATGGAATTGAGAACTAATAATCAATCGGGTTTGTGGATTGTTCTCGATTCTTGAACCAAAATCGTGGGTGCCGAACTAATTTTTTCTTTTTTTTATAAATTTTTCATTTTTTTACAATTTATTTACCTTGACCAATAATAAGACGAACTTCTCTATATCAGGGTAGCGAGTCTTGTCTAGCATTGCTCATGTAGTAGATTGACAATTGTTGATGGCCTTCTTCTCATAAGAACACGAAGTTAATGACATCTTCTGAAATTACTAAGTATTGCAATAAAGCTTCTTCAATCTTAGACTTGGACATGAAGAAGATGTAACCTAGGTGATCCTTGAAGACCTACAAGGTCTCACTTTATGATGAAGGCAAAATAATAATTTTATTTAATTTCGGGTTTGTTCGTTTTTGGCGAATTGCTAGTTTAATTTGATTGGAAACGGGCCAATGATCACAACTCAGGATCTTTGGCCCTGATGCACGTCAAATTTTGGGCAAATTCCATTATTTAGGCTCTCAATTAAGTATTTTTACCGTTTATGGTAATTTTTGTTTTGACAATATCTTAATCAAATAAACTTGGATTTGATTTCTGTTTGTTGGGGGATGANCAAGATCCGTCTTTGTCTCATTTTTTTCCATTTTTGAAAAAAAATAATATTTTTTATTATTAGGTAATTTCTTTCCGAATTTTCTTATGTTTTCGCTATTTAAACGTTGTAAGTCCTTTGAGGCAACTCAATTTTGGATGAAATAAAATTTTCTTGAATTTCTCTTCATTGAAATTCTTTTCGTGTGAATTTTTGTCTTTCCTATAATCTTCCGCTGCATCACTTTATATTCATCCATCTATTAAAACCTCTTCCCCTAGAATTTTGAAGAACGAAAAAAACTTGTCAATCACTTTAGACATGATATAACTCAAGCTATCATTCGTCTAGTATAACTCTACACCTCTTAGGTTTTCGTGGTGATTGCATCTCTATCAATACTTTAATCTTCTCTAGATTGACCTCAATATCTCTCTGGTTGACCATGTAACCTAAGAACTCTTGGAAGCAATGCCAAAGATGCAATTCAAGGGATTCAGCCTCATCTTATAAGTCCTCACAATGTTGGAAAGCTTTTTCTAGGTACTTGACATAATTATTGACTTTTAGATGTTTCACCAATATGTCATCCACGTACACCTCTATGGTTATATCATTTCCTTGGCAAGCATTTTGTTTACCAATCTTTGATAGCTGGCTTATGTTTTTCAACCTAAAGGGTATAACATTGTAGTAATATAGATATAGAGATCTCTGATAGTGATAAATGAGTTATGCTATTCATTAGGAAGGTATATGAGAATCTAATTGTGGCCTAAATAAGTATCCATTGAGCTTAACAACTCCTGTTACGATGGAATCAACCAGTTAGTCGATTTTTGGCAAGGGAAACTCTGTTTAAGACATGCTTGATCCAAATTGAAGAAGTATATACATACATACCACTTGCCTTTGGGCTTCTTTACCAAAATTGAATTGGAAACCCACCGGGGTATTTGGCCTCCTTGATGGCCATTTGCCACCACCTTGCTCTATATTCCTTCATTGCCTCATACCGTTCTAGGTAAGTACCCCATCTTTTGCTTATGAGGACAACATTTAAAGTCCACTCTTAAGGAATCCAACAGACTCTTGGACTAATGTTAAACATGCCTTCATATTTTTATACAAAGACATCCAAATACCGACACAAAACTCTTTGAAGGTAGCCTTCACGTCCTCTAACGGATTGTTTCCAATATACAGAACTGATGAAGTGTATAAGGAGTTAGAATTTATGATGAAGTGGGATCACAAGGCAAAATAATGATTTCATGATAACTTCGGATTTGTCCGTTTTTGACGAATTAATAGTCTAATTTGATTGGAAACGGGCCAAGGATCTCGATTATGCGTTTTTGCCGTTTATGATAATTTTTATTTTGGTAATATCCTATTCAATAAAATTCGGATTTGGATTCCGTTTGTTGGAGGATGATCCTGAATATTAGGAATTTCCATTTAAGTTAAAATCTCGAATTTTTCCATTTATGAAATTTTTTTTAATTATTTATTTTCCGAATTTTGTTAGGGTTTTACTATTTAAAGTATTGTAAGTCATTTGAGGCAGATTTGAATTGAGTAAGAATTTTCGTGAGTTTTATCTCATCTTTGTGAGATTGTTCATCTTTCCTATAATCTTCCGCTACGTCGTTGGTATCAGAGCCGAAGTCATTCCTTCACCATACCGCCAGGAGACGTCCAGAAGCTCTTGAAGTCCCGGTAGAAAAGGTACATAGACGTGATGAAATCACACAGCTGCGTCAACAAGTGGAGTTACTGACACAGTATTTCGCCACACTCATGCCACAACATCATGCACCGGTAGCCCCGTCGGTTGAGGATTTGATGATGAGAATTCGTTTGCACAACGTGAGCATCCAATAGATTTGCCAGTCTGACGGAGGGGGGTGGTCAGGATAAAAACAGGCGTTGGGAATTAGAATTCAAGGTTGATATTCCTAAGTTCCATGGTGGATTAAGTCCAGAAGAGTTCTTGGATTGGGTGACTGCAGTGGAGGAGATCTTGGAATTTAAGGAGGTTCCTACTGATAAATGTGTGCCTCTCGTTGTGACCAGGTTTCGTGGACAAGTAGCGGCGTGGTGGCAGCAGACTAAAGTGACACGATCTAGGTTAGGAAAGTCCAAATTTACATCGTTGGATAAATTGAAGAAGCATATAAAGAAGCAGTTTCTGCCCTACAACTATGTTCGGACCATGTACCAACAATCGCCGAATCTACGTCAAGGAGTCAAAACGGTTAGTGACTATACCATGGAATTTTATATGTTGATTACGAGGAATGAGGTGATGGAGACGGAGGAATAGTTGCTGTCACGATATGTGGGTGGTCTTCGTCCTCAAATACAAGACACACTGAATATGTTTGATCCTGTGACAGTTTTTGAGGCATATTAGAGGGCATTACAGATAGAGAAACAGCAGTCCAGGAGAAATACAGTTCCTTTTACTATAGACAGTTCTTCCAATAATTCACAATAGTAGCAGCAGATTACACGTCTTGGTAATCCTACTTAACCTGGCCCTCCTAGACCTAACCCTGTTCAACAACCAGCGCGTCCTGGAGGTGGTATTCGTTGTTTTGCATGTGGTAGTACAGATCATAGACAATCTGAATGTCCCAACTCTTTGTTGATGAGAGGTATAAGATTATGAAGGTCCACCTGTATTTGACAATGAATACACCGAGGAAGTTGGAGAGGAGGAAGAGTTTGTAGTTGGGGATGCATGTCAAGCGTTGGTGGTGAGGCGGACCTTTTTGACTCCCCTGGAGAATAGCACTGACTGGCTGCGTAATAATATCTTTCAGTCGACGTGTACTGTTGGGGGAAAGATCTGTAGATTTGTTATTGATTC